TTAAATGTATACCTTTTCTTCATCTGTTAAAAAATCTAGTTAAGTCAATAGATTAGAAATGGTCGTTAAGAATTGATAGGGGATTCTTCAGAACTTTTTCAAATGAGAACTTTGTGATGTGACTTTTTTTCAATTTTCTACTATAGGAACACCAAATCAAAGAGATATCTGCCAGTGGAATTCTAATTGTGTTTCAAATAATATGCAATAATCTTTAATACTCAGAATATTTGTTTATATCATAATATTAAGAGAGACACTTTTCTTATTTCTATGTTCAAGGTAGCTTTTAGAGTAGTCATTAATAATTGAGGTGAAACCTCTTTCAAAGATTTGTATGAAGTTGTACTTATATGCCTGTTTCATTCATATCATTGTCTAATGTATGTATGGTTTACTATATAGGTTATCTGTATTATACTTAAAATGAAATATTTTTCTCCAGGACTAGCAAGTCTCTGCCAATGCAGATTGATGGGGAACCGTGGATGCAGACACCATGTACAGTAAGTACTCAGTACTGAAAATGTTATCACTTCTCACCTTCTCATTTTTTATGTTGTTGTTGTTATGTGCCATCAAATTGACTATGACTCATAGTGACCCTAGGTAAAGTAACTCAGAACCATGCTCTATCTTGAGCCAGTTTCATAGCCTCTGACACACTGTCCCCATTATCCCCATCATCCCCATCATTGAGTCAATCCATCTGATCCCGGGTCTTCCTTTCTTGCACTGTCCCTCCACCCTTCCAAGCATGACGTCCCTCTCCAAGGACTGCTCCCTCCTGGCAACATGCCCAAAGCATGTCCGACAGAACTTCAAAATCCTTGCCTCCAAAGAGCAGCCTGGGTTTATTTACTCTTTACAGGACAGACCTGTTTGTTTGTTTATTCAATACTTTCCTCCAGCACCACAACTCAAAGGCATTGAGTCTTCTTCTATCATCCTCAGTCATTGTATATGTCTCTGATGCATAACAAGTGATTACAAAGACCTGGATCAGTCACACCTTATTCTCTAGACTGACACCATTGCCCATCAGTACTATGGAGAGTTGCCCGAGAGCAGATTTTTCCAATGTTGTTTGTCTTTTGTTTTCCTGACTACTGGTATCAAGGTTGTTGATAAAAACATATATCTTAATACATTTTTTCTTTAATATCTTATGATTATTTTATAACATCTTATAAAAAAATTAGTTATAGGGCCATCAGACATAAATTTTCATGAACCCATTAGTCATTTTTTAAAACTTTTTCTCCATCTAAGAATCCAAATTTTTTCCATATACAAACTCTTTTATACTTTATCATTGCTGTTTTCTACACAATAATATACTATTTGTTCAGTTAGTCATTTTGATCCAAACAATATCAACAGCTAAAAGATTCTAAATTCAGTATATATTGAGTATTTTATTGCATTGAGAACATGTTGGCTCTCAGGTTTGTATATATACTTTTTACTATGTTATAAAAATTAGGTAAAATAATGAAGTATAAGTGAGTAAAGAAGCATTCTAGCTTAGATAAGATCTATTGTTGTCACCTTCAACTCTACTGTGACTCATAGCTACCTTATCAACAATGAATCTAAATTCTACCTTACTCTATGCCATCCTGACCATCTCTTGGCATACTCTAACCCACTGTTAGTGTATCTGTGTTAATTCATCTTCTTAAGAGTCTTCCTTTCTGTAAAAAAATTTGAAACACATAGGCAGCATGACACACAACACTAACTGTAAAAGGAGTAAGGGCCACATGGGGATGGCAATATCTGACCTCTACTAATCTCACAAGATGGAACTACACCATCAACAACATTCAGAGAACAAAACAAATTTCCATGAGGTCAAATATGTCCTCAATGCTGCCACACCTCTGGCCACTAATTCTAACACAAACTTACTGTTTTACTGGGTCCAAAATCCATTGTAATGGCTCACAAAGCACAAAGAACCTACTCACAATTATGAGGTTTATTAGGGAAGTCAACAGGCTATATTTCAGGTTGATAGCAAATCAGTAGGAACAGCTTCTGAACTGTGCTCACAGGCACCTCAGCCTTCAACCTCACAGTGGCTTTAGGTCAATTATGGCTCCACTCTGAGACCTCCAACTAATGTGGCAAAAGATCCTAGCTCTGGTTCCATAAGGTAGTATTCCCAAAGTCATCTCGGTCATATCTCAGGTCTCTTGTTCTCTGCTGCAGCTGCTGCTGCTGCTGCTCCTGTTGGTCCTGGTCTGAGTGGCACAGAAATCTTTTACCCTGAAGGATAAAGATGCTGAATTCTCTGTCTCTTTGCTGAGAGTGAGAGTTCCAAAACCTGGCACTAAATCTACTCAGTTTAATGCAAGAGGAGTTCATTCTATTGTGGATACTTTAACATCTATTTGCACATCCCTGCCTATTCATATGGAAATGTCAAAGTCAATGGCTTGGAAAGTCATTTTGAACAATTAACTCTTGACACCACAACTTCCTTTGCTGACCTTCTCTACCTTTCCATAGATGACGTCTTTTTCCAAGGACAGGCTTCTCCTAAAATTTATTCTTTAAAAAAGATATAATAAAGTGTTCAATTTGTTAGGAGAGACGTAAAGAGGGCAGCATGGCTAAAATTGATTAGAGTAAAAGTGATAAAATATAAAGTAGACAGATGGGACAGATCATAGAGAACAACAGTGATAGAGAATCCCTATTTGAGTACAGAGGACTCTATTAAAGGTTTCCAAATGTCATCTTAATTATTCTTTTAGAGTCTTATTTATACTTTTGGTTTTAGGTGACGAAATTATTTACTGAATAGCAGCTTGGAAAGAGACTTTCACAATAGTATAGAATTAAACAAAAATGGTGGCAGGATAGGAGAAAGAAAGTAGATTAAATTGAACTATATTCTGAAGCAATAATGGGCAGAATGTGTTAGAGAGTGGATAAAGCCGTATCGTGTTCTTTCCATGAATGATGGAGCTATTTCCCAAGATATACTTTGAAAGATTGGATTTGGAATGAGAGTTCTTAATCTTGTATAAATATTGTGCAACATGCTTATACAGTCAAATTTGTAAGATCTGGACCTCAATGAAACTGTCTTGTTTTATCTGGGTCTTGCAAGTTTTCTGCCTCTCAGATGGTGCAGCCCTAAAACTTTTGTAGTCATTGTTTAAAGTGGTAATTATTTGAGGATTTCCTTCTCTAATAAGGCTCTACCTTAGATAAATTCTGACTTTTGTAGGTTGTACTATATTTTACGTAGATGTATTCATTAAACACTCACAAAAACCCTTAACTGATAAATATTATAATTTTCATATAGAAATAAAAAATTTGAGTAAGTGATTGATTAAAAAATTTATTAAAGTTAGGTAGGCAGTAGTTAACATTGGAGCCCAGGACTCTTTCATTTCAAAGCCCCTTCTTTTAAAAAATAGTTTCAATGACTTTGGTTATAGATTCCATGCAGTATAGTGTAGCAAGCAAGAAAGGATTTTAAATTTTCTTTCTCCAAAGATTATACTATGAAACTATGAGTTCAATCTTTGTGTGTAGCTCACAAATATGACTTTTTTTTTTGGTTCTGACATATTGTTTAGCTGTCTGTACCTGAGTTTGTGAAATCTGTATTTTTCTATAATTTGAAATATGTCTAAAAATTTTTCTAGACCAACAACTTCCTCTGCCTTCTGCTATCTCTGTACGTGGTTCCAAATGTCCTTCTAAAAAAGTTCTCTTCCTCTCTTTACTAATGTATACACTTACATCTTGTCCTTTATTCTTTGCTCTCCAAACTATAGCTCCTGAATGCATATTTGTAAGCCTAAAGATAGTAAAGATGTCATTGTTGGTGGTAGTGGTCCTTATGGTGGTTATAAAAAGTGGTGGCCAGTATTTACAGTGGTCATAATGTCTGTGGTAGTAATGATAGTGATTACAGTGATGGTGGTAATGCTTATGACAAAGCTCTGACAGTGATGGTAGTAGAGATGCTGATGGTGGTGGGACTGTTATGTTTCATGATGGAGGTAATAATAATGGTGGTGGATTTCGTGGTGAAATTTTTGATCATAGAGGATGCTATTTGTATCAGTGCTGTTGATGGTGGCAGAGATGATGGTAGTGGTGTGGTAGTGGAAATTATGTCGGTAAGATCAGTAGATGGTGATAGTAGATATCATAATAGTAGTAGTTATATGGTGTTAGAGTGTGGATGGTAATGAACACTCATTATAGTCTTCAAAAGTCTTCTTAGTCCTTGTCTTTTGTTTTGCATCAAGAAGCATCTGAAGGAGACAAAGGTTAAATAATGAGCCTAACTTTACAGAGGAGTTCAAATTCGGACAACCTGGCTTGAGTATTTGTACCCTTCAGCTCTGCTCTCCATCATAAATCTCAACGTAGAAAGTCCTGTGAGAGCCGATGACCACCTTCCAGTGTGATTTTTGGCAAATCAGGCACTGCTATTCTCTAGCTTTAAAATACATATATCTATTGAAATCTAATCATGTTTTTTAAAAAAATAGTTTTATATCATCAAACCAGTGAGTAATACTTTTATTAACTTTTTGTTTGAAAGTTAAGATTATGTTCATTTCTTCTATTAATTATCATGATCTAGCCAAAGGGTAAGGAGGTCTGGTGGGCTATTACGGTATTGGCCTGCTGTCCAAAAGGTCAACAGTTCAAACTCACAAGTCACTCGGTGGGAGAAAGATGGGTGTTCTCTTCCTGTTAAAATTTACTTCCTTAGAAACATGACAAAAGATGGCTATGTGTTGGAACAAACTCAAGGATCGTAGGTTTGGTTGCTTTTACACAATGGTTGAATAAATAACAATTTTATGCAATTTCTATTTAATTCTTTCTCCTAGTACATTCACTTATCATTTAAGACATTTATTGCAGAATATCGTGGGCCAAGAACTGTACTAGACTCTGGCATGTTATCGTTATTTCAAATTCTGGCATACTCTACTTTTCCTAGAACCACATGGAGATCTGAACTTTAAATTTTACTTTAACTGAAGAGAATATTTAGTATTCAGAGCACTGGTATAGATTAACTATAGAATGTTCTTTACTTCAATTGAATAACACAGTGTTTTTCTTACAGAGTACAAGAAATTGTTAGAATGTCAAAACTCACTGAATTTAAATACCCATAAGCTGATATTCAATTTACAAAGGAATTTCTCTAGATAGATATAATTTTAGAGTAGATTAGACTCTCTGCTATCTAATGCAGAATATATAAAAGAGGGAGGCAGAAAATAAATGAGACTAGATAATTTTAATCAACTATTAGATATTTAAGATGAAAATAGTCTTCATTTATGGATTTTTATCATTCTTAAAATTTCAAGTATCAGGATAAACAAAAGTGAAAGAACTTAAAATTTTCTCTTCAAATACTACTCATTTTTTAAAACAACCTTGTAATTTCTCTCTATATAAAATAATCAACAAATTTTTAAGTGATTTTGTACTTGCAGTTTCATAA